AATAAGCACGTGAAAAGATATTCATAGCCATCAGGGAAATACAAATCAAAACCACAATGAGATACCACGTCACATTCATGAGATAGCTATAATCAAAAAGATAAAAGAATAAATGCCATCCAGGACAGGGCAACACTGGAACCATCAGACACCACCAGAAATGTAAAATATTGTAGCCACTTGGAAAACAGTCTTGAAGCTCCTCAAATAGTTAGACATACTGTTACCACATGATCAAGCATTTCACTTCTAGGTATATACCCAAGAGAAGGGAAAACACCTGTCTACACAAAAATCTGTACGTGAATGTTCATAGCAGCATAATGGCCCAAAATGGAAACAATCCAAATATTCATCTCCTTATGAATGGATAAATGAACTGTTACGTACTCATGCAATAGAATTTTTTTGGCAATAAAGAAGGAACAAAGGCCAAGCCAGGTGGCTCAGTTGGTTGGAGCATTGTCTCCCTCACATTGTTTCTCTCCCTTTCTCTCTCTCTCTCCCCCTTCCTTCCTCTCTAAAATCAGTAAACATATCCTCAGGTGAGGATTAAAAAGGGGGGGGCGGGGAGAAGGAATGTAGTACTGATACATCACTACAGCACGGATGAACCTTGAAAATATTACACTAAGCGAAAGAAGCCAGTCACAAAAGTCCACATATTGTATGATTCCATTTATATGGAATGTCCAGAATAGGCAAATCTGTGAAGGTAGAAAGTAGATTAGTCCCTAGCTCTGAGGACGGATGTAGGGATTAGGGAATCAAGCCTAAGGGGAACAGGATGTCTTTGGGGTAACAAAAAAGTATTCTAAAATTGGTTACGTTGATATTTGTACAACTCTGTGGATATATTACAAACCACTGAACTGTACATTTTATTTATTTTTATTGATTGACTTTAGAGAGGGGCGAGAGAGAGAACATCAATTTGTTGTTCCATAATTTATGCATTCATTGGTTGATTCTTGTATATGCCCTGACCAGGGATCAAACCTGCAAATGTGGTGTATCAGGATGACAGTCTAACCAACTGAACGACCCGGCCAGGGCTGAACTGTACATTTTAAATGGGTGAATTCTGTGGTATGTGAATTATATCTCATTAAAACTTAAATATAATACCAATAAAGCACATGAATTATTGAGTCACTGAGTCTTTTTAACCAATGAGTTGCAGTGGCTACAGAAGCTCTTTGCAATGCTACCCAAGTTGAGGACTGGGAGGAAATGGGATTAAGAAGAATGGGTTTTCTTTGAAATATTTATTTCAGGTGAGACATGTGCTGGAAAAGGAACCACCCAGGAGAAAAGAGAAAATTGGGGGCTGTTGCTATTTCAAATAGAGCAGTTAGGGAAGGTTTTTTTGAAGAAAAACCTAAAGGAAGCGAAGGCGGGTACCATGCGGGTGTCAGGACACAGTAAAAGCAAAGGCTTGAAGTGGGAAGGTGATTGGGGCATTAGAGGAACAGAGCAAAGAAGCCAGTGTAGCTGGGCAGTTGAGTGATGGGAGAGAAGGGAGGAGGGGCTGGGAGCAGGAGTAGACCGATGCGGGCCTTTTAGGCCATAACAAGGGCTTTGGCTCCTTCCTACTCAAAAAATGACAGGGTTTGAGCAGAGCAATGACATGCTCTGATTTTGGTAAGACAAAACACTATGACTTGGGATGGTGAACACACAATACAGTGCACAGATGATGTGTTGTGGAATTGCGCACCTGAAACGTATAATTTTGTTAACCAGTGTCACCCCAATTAATTCAGTAAAAAGGAGGGGAAAAAAGAAACGCTATGACTGCTATGTGGAAAATAGACCAAACAGGCAGAGTTGAAGCATCCTTCTTCAGATATTTCTTCTTATCTGATATATTTTTGAAGGTTTTTTAGTTATTTTGCAAAATCTGCATATTTTTAGTGCTAGCGAGCTACAGTTTGGGTTAGGAAGCATATTCAGTACTTTTTTTCCTTCTTTATTTTCATTATGTATAGATGGAGATTACATGTGTCAATTTCAGTTTTTTTCACATTCGTATTCACTTGTTTGGAATGTTTTTAAAATTTTTTTTATTGATTTTAGAGAGAAAGGAAAGGAGATAGAAACATCAATTTGTTGTTCCTTGTATTTTTTAATCCTCACCTGAGGATATGTTTTCCATTGCTTTTTCAGAGACAGTGGAAGGGGGAGAAGAGGGGAAGGGGGGGAGAGAGAGAGAAAGAGAGAGAAACATCCATGAGAGAGACACGGTTGGTTGCCTCCTGCACACCCCTGACTGGGGCTAGGGATGGAGCCTGCAACTGAGGTGCGGGCCCTTGACCAGAATCAAACCTGGGGCCCTTAGTCCGCAGGCAGACTCTCTAACCACTGAGCAAAACCGGCTAGGGCTGTTGTTCCATTTATGCATTCACTGGCTGATTCTTGTACGTGCCCTGACCCGGGATATCGAGACAATGCTCCAACCAATTGAATTACAAGGTCAGGGCCTGTTTGGAAGGTCTTTGAGTAACACTCGTGCTTGTAACAGAAGCTTTGCAGTAGCTCAATATTATGATTCACTCAGGAGTGGATATGTATAGTTTGTAGAGTATCAATATGTTCTTGCACATAAATTGAATATTTAAATCATTGATTTTAATCTCAACATAAAAATGATTCATATTTCTGATTATTTTAGATAAATTAACAGTATGATACCAACAAAACACCAACATTTCACTACTTAAAAATAGCATGAACACTGAAAACTGGTATCACAATGACTATTATTCCTATTTTATAACAAAGAAGTGACACATTAAACAACTCGAGGTCACACAGCTAGTAAGTGGCTTGGCCAGGATTTAAAACACCGGCAGTTTGAAATGCAACCCTCAGGCTCACCATTACACTAAAGGCTTCTCAGAGAAAGTAGTATCTGAGTGGGGCCTTCAAGGGAACTGGTAAAGGCTGAGATATCTACTCTGGGGAAGGAGTTAGAGAACAAATTAGAATCAAGGCTCATGAAGATAACCTCAGGAGAGGTTGGACATCTAACTTTGCCATGGAGTCAGTCACCATGTTTATGCAAGTTTGTAGTGTTGGCCTCAATCCTCTGGATCCTGAGTGGAAGGTGAGCTGGAGACCAATAGAAGGAAAAAGGGTATATGGACCAGGAGTATGGCCCAAGAGATTGGCCTTGGGTGCTGGTGGGGTAGAAACAGGGATTGAACCAGGAGGGAGGGGATGATCCATGGACGGTCTAGTGCTGAGATAGCCTTGGCCATAGGTCTTCCTCGATGTCTTCCCTCCTTTTGCTTCATTAATGATAAATTATGCCCTTCTTCTCATGTAGGAACCCTCTCAACATGGTTCCTGTCTTCAAGGATCTCACCTGTAGGTGACTTTGGCCTGGGACACTTTGAAATAAAAAAGTTAAGGCCATTCGATAATAAATATTAAGGTTTTCATTTAGTCAAATGCATTTAAGTTCACGTTTAAAAGTAAATGAGTTATGGGAAAGAGATGGGAGGGGTCCAAATTTAAAACTGTGCAAGGAAAGCAGAAACCATTGACTGTTCTCTGAGTCATGTGCTAAGTTCCAGCTGTGTGACCTTGGGCAAGCCACTTCCTCTCCCTGGGTGTTTCACAACCATAACTTATATAAGAGATTTGGGAATTATATATGCAAAACACCCGTAATGCTGCAAGGCACATAACAGGTAGACACTCAATATAGATTATTGTGGACCAAGAAATTTACAAAAATTTTCTCATTTAATCTTTATAATACTGAGGAGGTAGGTGACATCCTCCCCTTATATAGATGATAAAATTAAGACATTAAACAGGTTCAGGAACTTGCTTCAAGTCACACAGATAGTTAAGAGGCAGAATCCAAGTTACTTTGGGTCTATCTAAGAGTAAAGTGGTTTTATTACTTGAAAAGAAAAAGAGACAAAAGTATAAAAAATTAGTTAATAGCTGCTCTGTGAATCCTGTTACTGGGATAAAATAGCAGAAAATGTTAAAATTTAAAAGCATTTATATACTCTTTTTAAAAAATATATTATTATTATTTTTTTTTTTTTTAAAGAGAGCGAGGAAGGAAGAGAGAGAGAAAAGCATCGATGTGAGAGAGAAACAGCGATCAGCTGCCTCCCGAAGCCGGTAACCTTTCAGAGCATGGGCGAACGCTCAACCAACTGAGCCACACTGACCAGGGCCTTAGTATACTATGCAAGAATTCTGAGGTTTTTTAAAATTGTGCCTAGACCCATTAGGGTTTGGGGTATACGATATTACCGCAATCTCAATCACAAACCTGAGCAATTACCAGTGTAATTATCATTGCATATCCATTTTTTGTTACTGCTAGATGGAATTCACAGCAGGATCGAATTCCAGACCAGTGACTTCTGCAAAAGCTAGATGCACCGACTCTTGCTAATTCAACTACAACCTACACTCTAACCTCATTCCCCACTCCTACCCCAACCCCAATATCCAGGCCTCGAGTAATCCCCTGGAAGGCGATTCATATCTGCATTCCCATCGTCTCACAAGCTCGGATCCTGACCCCAACCTCACCCCTTCAAAGCCCTTTGCCCCTGTGCATTCTCAGCGATTGCCCAGCTCTGGGGTCTCCAACCTGGAGGAGGTGTTAGCCGGCGACCCCCAGGCGGGGAAGAGGGTGTTGGAGTGCGGCCAGCCGGGAGAGCGGCCATCAAGGCGCGGGGACCGAGCCACTGGAGGTTCCCGAGGTAGGGCAAGCCTCGCGCCACGGGTGGGGCGGGGCGGCGACACCAGGCGGCTTCAGGTGAAGCCGCTGGGCTAGCACACAATGGGCCTGGGCGCGAGGCCAGCAGCGGGGCAAACGCGCCGCAACAACACGTGGGCTGCAGAGCGCGCCAGGCCGGGCGCGGCGCGGCGTACGTGCGCGCGCGCGTGCGTGCGTGCATGCGATTTGCGATCAGGCGGCGCTGCGGACAGCCCCGGCGGCAGGGCGTGGGGCGTTATATTGCGGGGTCCTTCCTCGCTCACCCTGGTTCCTCTCGGAGCGGAGACGGCAAATGGCGGACTTCGATACCTACGACGATCGGGCCTACAGCAGCTTCGGCGGCGGCAGAGGGTGAGGCGGCCGTGCGCGGACCCCGGCCGGGTGTGGGGGGCGGG